AGGAAAAATAATTTAATCTATGACATAAAAAAAAATTATTATTTTATCTACCAAGGAAAGAGAAGGGAGGTGAAAATATAGTTCTAAAATATTAAGGTAGGCAACCACGAGAAAGGGATGGGAAAGCAAGATGGCAACGAAAATGTAAGGTTGTGGTGGAGGTACTCACACGAACCAACGAAATAGATACAAATAAGTCATTTATGGAAGCAATCATTATATGTATTATTACTTGCCCAATACTCAAGAAATTATTATTTATAAAATTAATATTCAAGTTATTTTTTCTTAAATTATTAAATTGATGCATTTATACATGTCGCAATTAAATAATTAAGAATTTGATAAAAATAAAAAGAGAGGAGTTGAGTCATTATTATGAATTTTGATATTTAGGTAAGAGTTTAAAAAATGGATGAATAAGTATGTTGAATTTGTAAATATTAATGTTTCAATAGTTATGTATGTAATTTCTCAAAAGAAAATAAAATTTGAACTTAAATTTGAGTAAATTCAAATTGAGACAAAATCGAGCCAGCACATTAAATTATACTAAAAAGAAAACTTTAATCGACCTTGAGACGATTAGATTTACTCAAGATCGAAATGTTGTTATCCAATCCATGTGAGCTCCATAAAATAAGTATTGAAGGCTAATCACCATTTCATCCATATGTTATTAAACTTCAAAAAGAGAATCAAATTAGGTTTTAAGGTTCTCCCTATAGCTGATGATGAAATCCAATGTTCATATTAGCAGCTACAGATGATTAATGCACCAATATAAGAATCAATATTGAACATCCCTCATATAATAGTATTGTATATAGAAAAATTTCCAGCAAGAATCAAAAGATCTGATAGTTGATACACCAAAAATATATGCATTTTTAGACTCATATTTATACTCATTTTTGGTGATATTGCACTTTAAAAGAAGATATTTTTTATGTTTTGTTGCAGGTTGTTGATTTTTAGGACTTTGAGCAAAAAGGAAGCAAAAATGATGAAATTTGAAGTAAAAAATGGAGTTTTTTTCAAAAACTTATTCAGCGCCGATGACGGCTGACTGGGCACCGACAGCGCAGTTTGATAGAGAACACAAATTTAATTAAAGGGCGACGACGCCAGTGTCGATGCAGACCCTGTTTCTAGAAGATTCAACGAATTTGGATGCTTTTTGAAGTGTTTTTGGATGCACATATTGGAAAACCGACCTTAATATTGGAAAACCGACCTTAGACATATTGGAAAACCGACCTTAGGCTCTATTTAGAGCATAAATTGATCAGAAAAAACCCTTCCCCATCTTTTCACACTCCTCCACTCGCACTTGGTCTTTCTTCACCCATTTTCGTGTTCCTTTCAAGCCATTCCACACCATTAGTGATTTATTTTCTTTATAGTTTTGAGTTTTTGTGGTGAGTTTAAGTGTGAATTCTTCTCTAAGAGTGTTGGAGAGGGAGAGAAGTGAGAGGTTTCTTCTTCCTACATTTCC